CCAGCACGTAGAGAAGAAGGGGCATGGAAAGAGTAGGGATGGTGAGGAGGGGTTTGTGCTCTGGAGATGCCGCTGTCAGGGATGTTATGGAGCAAATTCCTTGCTCAGATAAAGCCTTCCTGGCACAGGAGTAACTGCCTCAACTCCTTTGTGTACCAGAACAAAACACCATCTCCAGACATTTATCGACCTTTCCCTCTGCCTGGCTCGGAAGTCGGAGTGAAGTGACACACCAGCTCTTCTAATTTAACTCACGGGTACCAGGAACACGGACTCTCCAAACCAGAGGCTTTTTCCAGAGCTCAGTCCCTCACTAATGAGACACTGAACTTTCACATGGAAAATACTGAAAAGCCATTTGAAACCCATGAAACCACAGGCAAACCAGTGATTCAAAGCCACCACCGGAAAGGCCGGGAGACACCACGGCCAGGGTGTCCCCTGGGGAGGGTGAGCCATGGGATCCACCACAGAGGGGGACAGCTGGTGTGATTCAGCAGTCCCTGAGGTTTGCTGGCCCATACCTGGTTCCCTGCACTGCTGGGATTGCTCCAGGGATTCCAGAGCAAGTGAGGGAGAAGCGTTTCACTGAGAAGAAGCACCAAGAAGAGCCAACATATGTGGAGAGCAGCCACCCCACAAATTGAAAGCAATGCTGACAACACACCCCAAGTGAGTGAGGATGTTCTGTGGGTTCCTACAGACCCCTAGAAAGGAGGGAGGCAACCCCAGCCAGTTCTCAGGCCCACTGACCATGCTAACACTGCACACGTGCTGTCTGGGTAGCACTGGATCCACTTCCATTCAGCATGAGATGCCGTGGGGATGGTTTACTTAAGAGTGAGAGCACCTCTCCACAGCCAAGGATCTCCTGTGAATGCATCAGCAGGGAGGAATTGCCAACTTCAGCTCCCTACTTGTTTACAGAAACAGATGTAGAGGATCCTCAAGAAATGCTTCACCACAGACAGACGGGGGAGGAACAACAACATGACTGTTTTTCCAGGGCAGGATATTGCTGTAGAACCACCTAAACAGCCAGAGCTTGATCCGACTGGTATTTCAGCCACCAGTGAAGCCTCCTAACCCAGACGCCTTGATCTACCTCCAGCTGAGAGTATAAATATTTCCCTGACAGCTGGTGGTGCCACACAGCAGAAGGATTCATAAAGTTTACATGAACATCCTGTAAACAATTTGAACATAAAAGGCTCTAACAGCCCAATTGTGTTTCTGATCAAAGGCAAACTTCAATATACGGCACAAACGAAAACTTCACCACTTTGGGACTCATTTCTCCCTCCAGGAAAAGCTGTTTTCCAAGGGTACGTAGGAGGGAGTTAACATAAATGAACTACACAGTCATAGAACGAGCTGCCTGCTCTGCAGCTTCAGATGTGTCTATTTAAATTATTAAGAGATAATGGAATTTAATTACACTGAGAAATCACATCACAAAAATTCCTGAACAAACCCTGTACTCTCGCCGGGATTAGTGGTGCTGAGGTGACACTCTCAGAGGGTAAGGGGCAGTTCTGTTCCTTCAAAGACACACAGAGCATAAGCAGCAATCCCAAACTGGAAGGGCCAACCCGCAGGGAGGGAGGGAGGGAGCTGCAGGCAGGGGATGCACTTCCCTGCCAGCCCTTCTCCAACTCATTTATTCAGATGTTGACAGCTCCTTTGTCAAGCATTACCATGGGCCCAGACCCTTGGGTGCTCACCTCCCAGCACAGCCACCTGGATTCCCATGGGAACCATCTCCCCGGATAATTTCAGCATTACAAGGTGAAGTGTTCCCTGCAGAGCGATTGGAGTGCAGGGACAACTCACTTCAGTGGCAGCTGCAGCAATTCCTGCTCTGGGGACCAAACCATATCCCTCCCAAATTCCCAGCCTGCTGCAGACATGGCACAGGGCTGGGACCTCTGGGAGCAGTGGCAGCACGGAGCTGAGGTGGGAACCCCACAGCCCTTTCCACCCCTCGGCTCTGACACGTGTCCCAGCCCTGAGGGGCCCCAACCTCCACTTGCTGCCCCCCAAAGCTCACAGGACCCTTCCAGATTCAGGGATGCATCTTCCTGTTCAGCTCCAAGGGCACTAACTCCTAAATGGGAGCTGAGAGACTTCTCCTCAAGGGGTTTTACCAGCTCTTCAAGGGAGGATTTGGGGTGATTTCATTCTGGTCTAGATTTCTTTAATTCTTACTGTTTCTGAGGAAGGGACTGTCCCTTACACATCCACACTAATCCATCCCTCCTTGAGCTTATCTTCAGCCTTGAAGTCCACAACTAAATGACAGAAAGGGGAAAAAATGTGTATACAAGAGCTGAAATGCTTCAGGATTTCTACCTGCTGTCCCTAAATACATTACTTGTGTAATTTCTGCTACCTCAGTTATAAATAATTCAGGGAGGGGGGGAAATAAGTGGTAAGACAAAAAAAACCCCAACAAACAGTGTGTGAGCCATGGGTGGCTGTGGGATCTCCGAGAGGGCTGGCTGTGGACACTGCCAGCCTGCCCAGCCCTCCCAGCCTGGCAGCTCTGAAGGTTCCATCAGGATTTGCCCAATGCAAATCTGACCTTTCTTACGAGTGACTTTTATTGCTTTTGGCAAAAGCGGCCGTGGACAACACACAGTGGGGAAGAACTGGCTTGGAAGCAAAACAGACTGAACTGCAGAAAGGGAACTTGAACTTGGAATATATCAAACTGACAGCCCCCGGGCAGCCACAGCGTCCCCAGGGCACACACTTACAGAAGGCAACAGCCTCCCCACCATGGTGAGAGCCCTGCACCTGCCTGCCAGCAATTACTGACATTATCTCCAAACAGGGGAGCTTTTCTGAGGCTCTTTTTCCTGATATTTAGTAGTTTGAATGCTAATCCCTTTGACAAAACTGTCCCCTATGCTTTTTCTGTCCTCTTTCCCCTTAATCTCTTTCTCCCAGTGGAAAAAAGAAAAAAAAAAGGGGAAAAAAAAAAAAAGAAAATACCAGCCAGCCTAGTTTGGCCGCACCTGGATTTGCATTGATTCCTCCCTTGTCATTCATGTTACCAACAGGAATTAGCATATGGCTTTAAGGGGAAACTCAGGAGGAGAAAAGAAAGATGCCATTTTGATGGAAATAAGGGGCAAAGGAATAATCTACCATCAACTAAAAAGCTTATTTGTGTATGGTTTCCCAAGCAAAGCTTCGAAAAGCCCATGTTGATTTTAGGCTACACAAAGAAACCCTAATCCTTTCAAGGGAACTAAATCACCAAAGAAAAGTACCTCGGAAGAAAAGGCTCCCTGTCAAGCATGGGTATTCACATCCAAAGGGATGCCAGGAACCAAGCTCCATAAGTAAACAGAAATAAGAATGTGGGAAATGTGTTTGAGTCAAAAAAAGAAAACCAAAGGAAGAGGAAGAGGGGCCTACTCTTCATCAGCCACCTCCTGGGGAGGAGAGGAGCCCCTCACCCTGGTTACAGGCCTGTGCCAGGAATGTGGATTCACCGCCTCCTCGGCTTCTCCTGCCCTGGCCCAACCCCAAGAAAGGGCTGCTCAAATGCCAAAGCTTTTTACAGCAAATTAGCAATATAAAGATGCAGTCACATGTAGTTTGGGGGCCTGGGGTCACTCCAGACACGCAGCTCTTCCCTTCTAATGGCTGTGCCACCTATTCTCTGCCTCCGGAGGGGCCGGGAACCTGCAAATGCCATTAATCACAAAGGATAGATCAGCTTGCCAAGTGAGATAACCTCGTTAGACCAAAGAAATAATCCAGACTGTACTTCCAAAGGATGCTAATACATGAAAAACAGGACTATGGATCCGTAATGCAATTAAATCCAGGTATAATTCAATATGCAGCAGAAGACTTCAGAGGCAGCGGCGGATCAGCATGGGAATCCCAGAGGTAACGGGGTCATGTTCTGTCCCCAGTTAAACCACTGCAGCTTCGTGGAATTAAAAGACACAGAAAAACACTGGAATGACCCACTGGAGTAACAAACCAAACCCAGGGAGAAGCACACAGGGCAAACACCGAGCAAATCCACACCTGGCCAACAAAACAGACCCAAATTTCAAACCAATCAAACCTGCCTCTTCTAATGCAAACCGACTCCGACCTTCCAAACCCCCAGTCAGTCAAAATCCCGGGTTTACAGCTGGAAGCTCAGCCCTTACTGAGTCCATTGAGAGGCAGGACAGTGGGGTAAAAACCTGGCACATTTTCCAGGCTTTGAATTACACTCGTTTGCACAACTCCTGCCTGGAGCTGCACCCTCCACCCTCCTTGCAAAAACACCAACCGAACCAAAAATAAGAATTAAAACCAAAGGATGCCCAAAACCTTTCCAATAACGCTGCTCCAGGCCCAGCCCTGCAGGGCAGCTCATTGGTGCTGATTTAGGGTGAGTTTTCCCTTAATGTACTGTTATATCATTAGCCACTCTCTCTTTGGATTGCTGTTTGGAAGAAATTAATGGGATACTGAATATTTAAATGTGGCCCTCTATATCATTTATTAACTCTACAGAAAGCACACAGCACAGTAAGCCATGGTTTATGACTATTATCCTGTGAATACTAAACGTTGGCTGGTTATTACTGTCAGCAGTGCAAATTGGCTATTCATAATTCCACGTCTATCATGGAGCTGATGAGTAACAATCAAGTTAAAACATTTTGAAAACTCTTACAGTTATTTAAATGAGCTTAAATTAAAGCCATTTGTAAAATAAACTATTCCCTAATATTGTTATTTAAATTAATTCTGACCTGGCAGGCAATGCATTATTTAAAGCCTATATTTTATATTAAGCAAAGCAATTACCAAGCATACAGAACACGTCTGAAACCCAGAGAAACATAAAAAGCACTAACAAGCTGATTGCGACATTTCTGCAAGACAAGTTACATTTCATCTCCCATTGAAATTGCCATGAAAAGAAACGTGTGGGGAAAGAAAGAAAAAAATCTGTTTGGGGATGTGAATTGCAGTCTTACCTTTATTTGTGACAGCGTTGAACAGTTTCTCAGAGCTGGCATCAGATGCCTGAAAGACCAATAAAAACAAAAAAAAAAAAAGTTACGTTTTGTAGCAGTGATAGATTTCCAGAGGCACGGCGGTGTATTTATACACAGGCAGAGGAATGTATATTTTAGGGAAACAAATCAGGAGACAAAACCAGGAGCGCTGGAAGCGGCGGCTCCGGGGCCGTGTCCATGAGGTGGTGCTGTTTGGCTGTGCTTCGCCGCCCTGCAGTGCAGAGATTTCCTTGGAAAGGTTCTATTTCATAAAGAAATGGGGTTTTTCTTCAACATCAGCTGCACGGAAACTGGATCTTTGTGCTGCCGTTATCCAACACGCTCTGACAGTGACTTTGCGATGGAAGAGAGTCACGATTTGGAATCACACAGCCCAGTTCCGGGAATTTCCAGAACTGCAGGTTTCTAAATTAATTTTTAAAGTATTTTTTGGGATCCCTACTGTGACAACATTCGATTTTTGCCACCTTCAAAGCAGTGCTGATAACTTAGGTAAGTAATTCCATCAACTGCTGCTACCAACTCTTTGAAAAATAAAGAGCATGTTCGTATTTAGGATCAGAATTTCCATGCCGGATTCACCTTCCTCTGAATAACTGAATCTTCACACCAAGCTCTGTGTCAACTAATAAACCTTTTCTTTTTCATCAAGACACCTTTATCCATGGAGGCTTTTCCTCCTAATATTGCGTTAGTACCCCGCCTACTCCTGCTGTTCGTGTGCCAACGCGCCAGTTCAGCTCTTTACCTGCTATAAAAAGCCTGACCCGGGTTTCACAAAAAAACATTGAAACTCAAACAGCACAAAAGCAGACGGGGAAGGTAACGCTGAAAATGTTCATTTTACAAACACCCTGAGCCCAAAAGCACAACCCCCTAAGTTTCTGCAGCTACGTTTGGGCACACACACACAATACACGCGTACATCCAGCTACAGCCTAAACTTCTCCCACCTCTGCACCCACAAATGCTCTTTGATTCGGGACTGGAGCTTGGATCCAGCCCCAGGAGAGACAGGCTGCTTTTGGAAAATACATGGAAAATGTGCTCAGTAACAAAATACTGCCAAACCAGGGTTAAAATGCAACACTCAAGAAACATTTTAGTTTTTTCCTAGAAACTCTTTTCTTGCTGGATTCAGGAAAAATAATTAAAAACACTCTTTGGAAAGCAGGCTGTGGGGGTTTTTTTATTAAAGGGAAGGAATTTCTCAATTCAGAACCAAATAAAAACCATCAGACAAGCAACATAGACGTTCGCTATCTCGACTGCACTAAAAACTTCCCTGTGAAACTCCCGATAAATAAGTAGACACGGCTCAGACTGTGTATTGCAGGGCAGCAATACACTGAAATAATTTGTTTGCCCTCAAGTTAGCGACAGACAAGATTTCTACGATTAATTATTAAAAATAGCTTTATTCTTTTTCAGACTTCTAGACAGATTTTACTAGATTACCGCTTGGCTTATTTAAAAGCTGAGCTGGTGCATTTTGTCTCGATTAAATACCTTGTAAACACTGGATTTATTACCCAATGATGGATTTATTATGCAGTGACGACTTTCTCTAAATTAATGAAAATATGTGAATAATGCACAAATTGAAGAGATCAAGAAGGCCATGTGCTTTAAAGAGCAGCCCAGTATTAGCCCAACAAGAGGCTCGATGCTTTCCTACCCTTGCCAATCAGGGTGCTTAAAAACATTTTCCAGTGAATTTCAGCTGTTGTTGTCTTTTCAAATGCAGCTTTTCTCTGAAGTCAAAACTCTCCAAATGAGTCCTTCTTTTTAGAAAAAAATCCAATGTTAAAAACCAAACAAACTTCTTACAGTTTCAGCTATTACTTTATTTTGCTGTTTCAAAACAAAACAGCACAGGGAAGCTCTAAGTTGCCCATTTACTTGATTTTTCCAAGCACTACAAAGAGGAAAACATCTTTTTGTGAATTTTGCTCTGACACCAAGTGTAAACCAACAGACTGTCTTTAAGTCACGGTTTTTCAGGTGAAACCTTTTCCTGTGCTATCATATAAACCAGTCACAAACCGTGCTGTGACACCTGGAAGTGGTACATCTTGGACATAACGTGGTGCACAACACAGCCTGCCCGGGGATGGCTCCGGAGCAAGCTGGGGGATGATTATCCGTACAATATACATAAAAAAGGAACAATTTCACAAAGACAAAGCTTGCCCACGAGCGAATCTCCTTTTGCATTACTGACCACGCACAACCGAATGGAAGAGTAACTTGAAACAAACCCTTTGCCTGCGTTGCCATAAAAATAACCTGAACCCAAACACTGGCTCAAACGGTGAGATGGAACTTTGCTTGCCTGTTCCGTTATTTAAAAATTGGGGTTTAAATACAAAATAGCAATTAGGGTGATGTACCAGTGATACACAGGCGAATACAATCTCTGCCAGCAGACAGAGTATCAATTTCCACGCAACTCTTATTTTTCCACAGTCAGGCAGTCACATCACGCAACAACGCTAAAGGAACAAAAAGCCAAATCAATTTAAAAATCCACGACGACTCAGCACTATCCCAGAAGGATGAAATTCAGTGCCTGTGCAGTGCTGACCTAAACCCTGCTCTGCACTGACAGGGATCTGTGGAGACAACAAAGTGCCTTTATGTCCACGGCGGGTGCGATGTAGTCAAACGTGGATGTTTAAGCGGCGGAGGAGCTCGGCTATCCCTTCCCTTACACCGGCCAAGTGCAACTCTCTCTTCATTCCCCTTTATCCTGATCTTTCCAGGTCTTCCTTGAGCGGCAGATGAGCAGACAGTGTCTACTGGCACCGTGATATTTGGGGACAGCACCGGGTCGGGCGCCCCGGGCTATCCGGGGTGTTCTTGCCCTCCGAGCCCCCTCGGTTTCGGGGTCCCCCTCCCCGGCTCCTGCACAGACAGAGCCGGAGCTGTTGACACACAGTTCCCTTCCTCGCACTTCGGCCGTTTTCCCTCACAAATCCCCTTGTTACCAAGCGCAGCTTAATCCTTTTCACTGCGAAATGAAACAACTCAGCAATCCCTGGGCTAAAAAAAAAAAACACCCAACCAAAGCCCAACAAACCACACAGAAAAAAAAATGACCTAAAGAGTATTTTTTGCCTCACCGAGGAATGCGCTGCCATTCAAGGGGACGTATGACTAAAATATTTCCTGTGCAGACGGCGCAGCCTGACTCATTGCTGGCACGGCGCGGCATTTGCACCGGCCCCGCACCTGCCCGCGGAGCCAGCGCGGCCCCTCCGTCCCCCTCACCCCGGCCGGGTGTGCCCGGGAGAAGCGGCCGCTCCCTCCATCCCTCCCTCCATCCACGGGGGGCCCGCACGGAGCCCCCCGCCCGCTCCCGCGTTACCTGTGCTCCGGGGGCTCCGCGGGGCTGCCGGCCCGCGGCTCATGGCGGTGCGGGAGGGGCGGGCGGTGTGCGGGAACTCCCGATCCCAGCGCGGCTCTCTCAGCGTCCCGCAGCCAAACCCCAACTAATCCTCCGCGGGGGGCGAACTCCGGGGGCCGGGCGGGCGGGCATCCTTCCCGGGCCGCCGACCCCTTCCCCCGCTCCCGCAAGATGGATCCCGGGAGGAGCGGGGCGTGCGGGGCTGTGCGGGGAGCGCGGCGGGCGCGGAGCGGGAGCGCTTAATGGAGCAGCAGCAGGACAAAGAAAACCATGTGCGGCGGCGGCCGGGGCAGCGGCGGCACCTCCGGGTGCGGGGCGGTGCGGGGCGGTGCGGCCGCGGCGCCTCCTCCCTCCCTCCGCGGGTCCAGCGCGTCCCTTCCTTCCTTCGGGCGGCTTTTTCGTTTTTTTCTTCCGCTGTCTTTTTTTTTTTTCTTTCTTTTTTTCTAGGGGAGGGGGTGACTGTTTTTGTTTTGGTTAAAAAGTCATGCCCGTCCTCTCTCTCCCGAGCCGAAGCGAGCTCCCTCCGGGCGCCGTCCCTCTCCCGCCGCGGCCGCGCTCAGGTGAATTCCATGGGGGAGACGCAGCGGCCCCGGCTCCTCCGGAACAGCCTCGCAAGCCTGTAATCCCCGCGGGGGCGGCCGCTCCGCCGGGCCGGGATGGGGATGCGATACCCCCGGACTCCTCTCCGCCGAGCCCGGGCTCGCTCCGCACTGCGCGGCGCTCCCGGAGCCGCTTCCCAGCGCCCGCCGGCTCCGCCTTCTCCCACCGCCCCGCCCCGCTCTCCGACGGGTCCCCGCGGCGGGGGCGGCCCGGTCCGGGGCGGGGGAGGCTCCGCGGGAGCCGCGATCCCCGTCCGCGGCTCTGCCGGCCCGGAGGAGCCACCGGGAGACGCGGGGATGCTCCTCGAGGGGTGCGAAGGGACCCGCGGCGGATGCGGAGCCGGACGGTCCCCGCTGCCCCCGGGATGACGGCACACACGCACACGAGCATCAGTCGCTAAAGCTCCGCGAGCATCAGTCGCTAAAGCTCCGCGGGAGGAAACACTATCGAAAACATCGTATTGCATTTAGCAATTTTTTTCTTTTGTTTCTGAACGGAAATTTAATTTTTTTTATTATTGTAACTGGGAAAAAAACCCAATGTCCCCGGCTGCAGGCAGGGTGGCCTGACGGGGACCCCAAGGCTGCTCTCTGAGTTGTGGTGACTCCCCGGGTCCCCCCGTGCAGAGACTCCCCTGGCTGCTCCCAGCACTGAACATTGTTGTGGACAGGCAGTGGATTTCCTACTCGCTGTAGGTTTTCCTTAAGCGCAGAACAACATTAGTAAGAGCCACCATGGAGCATAAACACACAGATACACGATGGTGTAGATGATTATTCACTGGAGTGCGACAGTCGGAGCCAAATGGTGTTTCCTGGGAAGAGGAGAGGCAGTTGTGGCATTGGCATAGTATGGCAAGATGTTTCCTGGGAAAGGGATAAGGGCAAAGAGAGGGCTTCTGGCCTCGTGAGGCCTTGCCCAGAGGGTGTTTTCAAGGTTTCAAATCTTGAAATGGGTTTCAAACCAATACTGGGCTAGAAGTGCTAATGGAATTAAACTTGTGTGGGTTCCACTTGGGTTTGAGCTAAATCCTCAGAAACAGGGTTGACAAGCCCAACTCACCCAACCCCCGTGGCAGAGCTCAGCCTGTAGAAGGTGACTCTCCTAAGGAAAAGATGGGAACTACCTACACCAGCCAGAAAACAAGAGCAGAGCAAGAGCTGTGGCTGCCTGGTTGGCCTCACCTGAGCCAGGAAGAGTTACACACCCAAAATCCAGTGGGAGCTTGGAAAGACACGTTTATGTCCTGGCCCACTCCAGGCTCACCTCGGGGACAGGGATGATGTGAGATGATGAGGGACTGCCCTTCTCCCGGCCCTGGGGCACCGAGGTGTGTGTGTGGCTCTGAGCTGTCCCCGAGCAGTGTCACAGTGACCAGGGTATGGTCACGCTGCAGTGGCTCTGGTGACTGACCCTGCCCACAGCAAACCCCACAGCGTGTGAGGGGAATGGGGGAAGCATGGTCTGAACTGTCCACACAAGCACAAGTGCCACACTTAAGGAAAAACTCACTAGAACACCTTCTGACCAACTACTGATGTAGAACTACAGGAATTTATGCAAATAATTTCCCATTAGTTCCTCATTCCACCACTGTATGATCCATTTAAGAGCAGTTTTCCCTCTCAGCAGCTTCTCCAAGAGTCTTTTTTGAGGTACACTTCCACTGACTGTGGTGGTTTCTGCTGGGGCAGCTGCACGGGAAGATCAAATGACAACAAGAGACAGAGGCACCCACCACAGCGCCACATTCAGCCTGTGGTTGCAGACACCACAGTGCTTTCCTGACATGGCTGATCCACAGTGGGAACTCTTGGGTAAAACTGTGGCAAATGGTCTCCACTGGAAAATGAAAGAATTGTGGCCAAAATGAAAGAATTGTGGCAAACCTCAGATCCTGGTTATAGCAATGGAAACGAGCTCTTCAGGGCTGTCCACCTCAGCATGGTTATCCCTAGATTTCCACAGCATAACTGAGCATGGATTTTGGCTGTTAAAATTGCACAGGTTTTTGCCTTTAATACATGTATATTTGCATCTAATAAATATATATTGCAAAGATAATCTTGTGCCATCAGAGAGGTGGTTTCCATCTCCTCCTCTAGGAACCCAACAGTGGTGTCTGGTCTCTGAAATCAACAGTGGACAGTGGCCAAAAGCCATTGCAGCCCATCAGCTATTTCAGAGCTCAGCAAAGGAAATGGATGGCTTGAGTGCAGATCCCAGTCTCCACCAAAAATAAATTAATAAAGGCAATAAACTGGCAGAGTGTTCTCTGTACAACAACCGGAGCACTCTGGGACTGATGGTGAGGCTGTACCTGGACGAGGAATTAAATGCACAATACCAAGGTGTGACAGCTCATACACTCTATGAGCACCTTGGTCAAGACTTTCCACATCCTGACATGGTAAGAACAGGTCTAATTAAAGCTTAGGCTCCTCACAAGACTTTAATTTGATAAATTTAGCCTGGATTAAACTACAGACTTGTCTGTACTGGATTTTTCCAACGTTAACCAGATGCCACACCTGAAATCTCAGCATACTCAGAATCAGAAATGCATTTACCTGCCCATCTCCCTGGGGCTGTGAGGGTTTATTGGCAGGGCTCTGGGCCTCATTATGTTCATTATTTGTGCCTTAGAGACAAGTTGAGGACCTCTGTTTTCCTGCTACAACATTACACATGCACAGAATGTGTTGTGTAATTCTGAATGAGAAATTTGGAGTTTGGAAATTCACCCAAAGCCAAATTAAATCAAAGGGACCCCTTCTCCCCTCAGTGATTTCAACGGCCTTTGGATTAAGCTTCCCCTTTTCCTGACAGCAATATTTTCCTGTGTTTTAGGTTATGCCTGGATAGGCTTTTGAAACCTTCTGTCTCTTATCTATGTGGGACTTTGCCAGGATTTTTTTCATATGTCTGTGGTCTCTGTCAGCGTCGACATTTGTTTCTGCCACGACAACAGCCAAATGAAGTGCACTGAACTTGGATCAAAAGTAATTTCAAGATCTTTCACTCTCTGGAAGAGGTTTGCAGATCCAAGTATTTTATAAAAATGACCTAAAGCTGCCCAGACAGCAGGCAGGGAAGCAGACATTCGTTTCCAAGTCACAGAGTAATTCCAAAGAAGAATTACCCATCTCTGGCACAAGGACCAAATGAATATTGAAATTACAGCAGATTATATTGGATTAAATTATTTATGGCAAACCTCACCTCACCTGGAAGGTTCTGCGGCTTTTTTTCCTGGCAACATGAGAACTGGATATTCCAATTCTTTGGTATTCTGTCAAAGCCTGGAAACATTTATATTTCCATTAAGTTGCTAACCTTCCCAGAAGACAGCACGGTGTCTGAGTTTGGAGCGTGATTATTGTGCCTTATAAAGTCCTTCATAATGCTCTGAAAACATACATGATTTTCTCCATTACTGGGTAGGAGATGCAGGGTCTTTTCCCCAAGAAAACAATTTATGGAGCTATCAGAGAGGTTTATGACTCCGAACACAAGCCACGGCACAATGTCCCAGCCAGAAGGTACTTAAACTCAACACTTTAGGAGGTTCAGGAAAAGGACCTGTTCTCAACAGTGACCTCGACAACGGCGAAATCACCCCTGGGTTAGGCTGTAAAAAGGTCATGACAGATGCCAGTAACAGTAAATGGTGGTGAGGGCAGGTTCTGCTGGGTTGGGCAGGGATGTTTGTGTGCAGCCCGGCCCTGGGGCGGGTGCTCCTGGTGCTCCTGGCACAGGATGAAAGCGATGCTCCTTCCACACCCCTTCCAGCAGGGACAGAGCACTCCTGTGGGGAAAGGGTGACACAAACAGCAAATACCCCTTTGAGAAGGAAACTGGATGTAGAACATCCCTGGCTAAGCCTCCATATAAGTAACGCTTTTTATTTGACAGAGCACAAAACTTTGGCGAGAGCATATTAATGACAGTGCAACTTTTTTTTTTATTATTTTTATTTTTCTGCAGCATTCGCAAAACTAAACCCGTTTGTAATCCCTTCTTTTATGCAGAACAGATTGCAGTTTTAAGCAGAGGCCCATAAACTGCAGGTTCAAAGAAACCTGAAACTGAATTAGCATAAAAGCTGGAATTCTCATTTAGAGGAACAGCAAGGCAACTGCTCTGCAGGCAGTTTTATGATTAGGGTTTCAAATGGAAACAAAGATAAAAAGTGGGGCTCAGGGAACAATAGGGCTGCTCTCTCTTCCCTCTCCTTACAGCTTGGCCCTATAAAATACTAAGTGGTCTCCACTGCTTCCAAGGACAGAATTTAGCCCAGATTTGCACATGTGGAGAGATTGGATAATTTTCTGAACCCATGTGCTGCACCGAAGAGAAATCCCAACTGTCCTACTGTGTGAAGCCATTTTTCCCACAGGCTTCTCCAGTGTTCACTCCCAGAGGTGAACACCAGTGTCATCTTTCCTTCCCATGGACAACCATGAAGAGCGAGAATCCCCAGACTGACTCCTGGCTGAAATTTTCAGTCAAAAAACACAATAATTTTATATCTTCCTCTATAATCCTTCCTGTAGTTTGAGTTCCCAGGTACTAAATACATGATGGAGCAGGGGTTAGCTCCTGGAGGCCTTGCTGGGCTCTGAGCTGCTTCCCACACTGCAGCCCAA